CTTGGTTACGGGTGCTGACTGATAGTGTGTAGAGAGAACAAAATATCAATCCCAATCACGGAGCCCAGAAGATAGCTAAAGACGTTTTGGCTTGAGAGGCTTGAAGATAGCTGATTGCTGATCTCATCCCAATAAAGCGGTCTGTATTTGAATCTGCTAATATGGTAATATCGGTTTAAATTGGCCTGACTCTGTGTATGTGCGCCTTCTCTAGGCAAGTCGTGGCATCTGTGCAGCATAGTTGTCGGTTCTAGTATTCCTTTGCTCAACATTACTTCTAGCATTACCGCTTGTGCCACCAGTGATGCCGGGGATCAAACCAAAACCTTGTATAGGGGAGTGACCAGCTCCCTCTAGCCACTAGCGCCATTATGTATTTGACACCTTGGATATAGACTTGCAAATCAAATCAGTATTTCTCTTGGCTCTGATTTGGTTTTCCAAATCCCGCTAGGAGACTTAGACGGGGAGAGGAACCTGAGTTTCTTTTCACGGATTATCGTCCTCTCGTACACCTGCAGGGATCTTTTAGGAAGTTTCGCGCTAACAATCGTGGTGACAAAAAGCAAAAAGTTATTTTTATAAAAAATAACTAAGGTAGCTTTAATATAAGGAACTTCTCCCATTATGCTGGAAGCTTGTTTTTGGCACCACACAGTCTATATAGTTCAGTTCTTCGTGTAGACCAAATTTCCCCTTCTACTGACTTTGCAGAAATACCTTCACACTTATCAACATCACCTCTAGCAACTTACAACTGAACAAAAGATCAAAGTTATTGAACAGATTTGTGTTTTGTGACACGTTGATGTTGTCTTGTTTTTTTTGTTGTTTTTTGCTGGTTGCAAAAGAGGTGGACCAAGTATCACCCAGTTTTCAACTAAAAATTGTAAAAAAAAAAAACTAAAAAAAACGTTAAAATCGCAGTTGGTGCTTACTGGGCCTTCACTACTTTAAGTCCTTGCTGCTTCAAGATGTTCGTATCAATGCCATCCAAGTGAGCAGAAGGACTGCTTTTGTGCTGTTTTCTATGAAAGCTCTTTTCATACAGAGTTGATTGCCTTATTGTGTTGACCTTGTGGTGCAAGGTTTGTACCCTTCTTTCTGATTGGATCCCTCCTTTCCTCTGCAGAAAGAGAGACGACTGCTGGAGAATCGACGGCTGGATCTTGACATCTGCAAAGCCCGTCTGAAAAAAGCCAAGCAGGCAGAAGCCAAAGCAGCGGTGAGATAAAACTTCACATTGTTGTTTTTGTCGCTGCTGTTGTTTTTTCTTCTTCTTTTTCTTCTTGTTATCTGTAATAGTATTTGAATCACAGTAACCATGACACCCGCAGCAGCTAACTTCTCCATCCGTCCTCCATTTCTCAGAAACAGCAATAATAGTGAATATAACACCCACTTTTACTGTTTAATGTTAACCCTCTTAATCATCTATTAATACATTTCTTTTGGCCACTTTGGAGCAGCAGAAAAACCTGTGAACACAACACTGACATATTATCAACTTATTAAGCCACACTTTTACATATTCAGCAGTTACAGAGCAACATTAGTGTTCATTTGGAGTTAATAGGTGTGATAGGTTTGAAGAAAAATCGCTAAAGAATATTCTATATTTTTGTTTTGTCCCTGCTGTAAAAAGGCCTTTAAACTGTAGACCGAAACTTGGCGGGACATCTCTGTGTCTTATTATTAAACCTCCACTGCTTATTATTTTGTAATAATACCACAATCACGTAGAGTTATAACCCAAATCTGCAGCTCTATGGAGCTTTTAACCTCTTTTAGCTTATAGTTTTGGTTTTATGGCAGATTGATGAGCCGCAACTCAAGAATGAGTTTATTGCGGTTAGATATCTAAAACCAAACTAAAAATCTAAATGAATATTTTTAGGCCAAAAACAATTCATTGAGTGTCCAGAAACACAACAGTGACAGGGTGATAATGTTGCTTTGTATCTACTGGATGTGGACATCCGGCAATTGTTTGCTAACAGGTTAGTCATCCCAACTTTATAAGCCAGGTACATGATAGTGGCTGTATATCTGTCAGTGACAGTAAATGTATGTTTTCCTGACCCCTAGTGGCCAAAGATTAATGAATACAACTTTAAAGTTGACAAAAGATGATTGCAGCTCGTATGATGCATCTCGTGCCAGCTGTTCTCCACCTGTACATTATAAAACTGAAAAAAGCTCAAAGAGGTCAAGTATAACAATATCACAAGCAGGAAGCACACAACTTTAATTTGGAAACAACTACATTTTCAAATCAGGTCATAAGGTCTCGCTTTCTTTGGAATAACCTTTGCAGTCATGTTGCTCTATTTGTATTGCATCAGGTTGGTTGTTTCTTTAGAGGGCATGGCTGCACTGCCACTTAAAATGCTCTAAATGCTTTTCACATGGCTGCCGTATCATCAGTGATTCTGCCTGCAGTGCCTGTTGCATGTATCGCTCTGCAATAAGATAAGCTTTTTAATGCCTTGCACTGACCATGAGACGCTTGGTCTGAAGCTGTCACACCTTCATTCCAGAACAGTGGGCTCAAAGTAAGATGATAGAGTAGCACACTAAGGTTATTATACTTTAAGGTCCAGTGTGTAACATTTAGAAGGATCTACTGTCAGAAATGGAATATAATATTCATAGGTATGTTTCCATTAGGGAAAAATTACCTGAAATATAGGAGCGCTTTCATTACCTTCAAATGAACTGTTTTTATCTACAGAAGAGAATGGACCAACTAAATACTGGTTCTAGACAGGGTCTTTGTTACGTAAGTTTCACGGCCACCGTAGCTAGATACCACAGAATCCTTAACACCTAATCAAGTCCTTTCACTAACACTAAACTAAAACCTAGTTTTGAACTGAAATAAAAATACAAGGTAGCTGAAATCTAACTGTACAAACTAAAATAAAATAAAATAAAAATAGATCTTTGTCAAGTTGGTCAAATTTGCCAATACAATAAGCATGAGGAGGCAATGGTGTATTTTTATTGAAACTGCCTATAGTCTCAATAAAAATAGCCTAATACATATTCTGAACTTCCTAAGGGTCCAGTGTGTAGGATTTAGTGTAGATCACAGCTCCATCCCTGCACCCTCCTCCTCCTAACAGCCCTATCTAGATCCAGTGTTTGTTTGGTCTGTTCTAGGTTACTGTAGAAATGTGGTGGACTCCTCTGTAGATAAAAACAGCTCCTTCTAAGGTAACAAAA